CTCTACCACCTACCTGCTGCATGGGGCTCTCTACCACCTACCTGCTGCATGGGGCTCTCTGCCACCTACCTGCTGCATGGGGCTCTCTACCACCTACCTGCTGCATGGGGCTCTCTACCACCTACCTGCTGCATGGGGCTCTCTACCACCTACCTGCTGCATGGGGCTCTCTACCACCTACCTGCTGCATGGGGCTCTCTACCACCTACCTGCTGCATGGGGCTCTCTACCACCTACCTGCTGCATGGGGCTCTCTACCACCTACCTGCTGCATGGGGCTCTCTACCACCTACCTGCTGCATGGGGCTCTCTACCACCTACCTGCTGCATGGGGCTCTCTACCACCTACCTGCTGCATGGGGCTCTCTACCACCTGCCTGCTGCATGGGGCTCTCTACCACCTACCTGCTGCATGGGGCTCTCTACCACCTACCTGCTGCATGGGGCTCTCTACCACCTGCCTGCTGCATGGGGCTCTCTACCACCTACCTGCTGCATGGGGCTCTCTACCACCTGCCTGCTGCATGGGGCTCTCTGCCACCTACCTGCTGCATGGGGCTCTCTACCACCTACCTGCTGCATGGGGCTCTCTACCACCTACCTGCTGCATGGGGCTCTCTACCACCTACCTGCTGCATGGGGCTCTCTGCCACCTACCTGCTGCATGGGGCTCTCTACCACCTACCTGCTGCATGGGGCTCTCTACCACCTACCTGCTGCATGGGGCTCTCTGCCACCTACCTGCTGCATGGGGCTCTCTACCACCTACCTGCTGCATGGGGCTCTCTACCACCTACCTGCTGCATGGGGCTCTCTACCACCTACCTGCTGCATGGGGCTCTCTACCACCTACCTGCTGCATGGGGCTCTCTGCCACCTACCTGCTGCATGGGGCTCTCTGCCACCTACCTGCTGCATGGGGCTCTCTACCACCTACCTGCTGCATGGGGCTCTCTGCCACCTACCTGCTGCACGGGGCTCTCTACCACCTACCTGCTGCATGGGGCTCTCTACCACCTACCTGCTGCATGGGGCTCTCTACCACCTACCTGCTGCATGGGGCTCTCTACCACCTACCTGCTGCATGGGGCTCTCTACCACCTACCTGCTGCATGGGGCTCTCTACCACCTGCCTGCTGCATGGGGCTCTCTACCACCTACCTGCTGCATGGGGCTCTCTACCACCTACCTGCTGCATGGGGCTCTCTACCACCTGCCTGCTGCATGGGGCTCTCTACCACCTACCTGCTGCATGGGGCTCTCTACCACCTACCTGCTGCATGGGGCTCTCTGCCACCTACCTGCTGCACGGGGCTCTCTACCACCTACCTGCTGCATGGGGCTCTCTGCCACCTACCTGCTGCATGGGGCTCTCTACCACCTACCTGCTGCATGGGGCTCTCTGCCACCTACCTGCTGCATGGGGCTCTCTGCCACCTGCCTGCTGCATGGGGCTCTCTACCACCTGCCTGCTGCATGGGGCTCTCTACCACCTGCCTGCTGCATGGGGCTCTCTACCACCTACCTGCTGCATGGGGCTCTCTACCACCTACCTGCTGCATGGGGCTCTCTGCCACCTACCTGCTGCACGGGGCTCTCTACCACCTACCTGCTGCACGGGGCTCTCTGCCACCTACCTGCTGCATGGGGCTCTCTACCACCTACCTGCTGCATGGGGCTCTCTGCCACCTACCTGCTGCATGGGGCTCTCTGCCACCTGCCTGCTGCATGGGGCTCTCTACCACCTGCCTGCTGCATGGGGCTCTCTGCCACCTACCTGCTGCATGGGGCTCTCTACCACCTGCCTGCTGCATGGGGCTCTCCACCACCTACCTGCTGCATGGGGCTCTCTGCCACCTACCTGCTGCATGGGGCTCTCTACCACCTGCCTGCTGCATGGGGCTCTCTACCACCTGCCTGCTGCATGGGGCTCTCTACCACCTACCTGCTGCATGGGGCTCTCTACCACCTGCCTGCTGCATGGGGCTCTCTGCCACCTACCTGCTGCATGGGGCTCTCCACCACCTACCTGCTGCATGGGGCTCTCTACCACCTACCTGCTGCATGGGGCTCTCTACCACCTACCTGCTGCATGGGGCTCTCTACCACCTACCTGCTGCATGGGGCTCTCTACCACCTACCTGCTGCATGGGGCTCTCTACCACCTGCCTGCTGCATGGGGCTCTCTGCCACCTACCTGCTGCATGGGGCTCTCTACCACCTGCCTGCTGCATGGGGCTCTCTACCACCTGCCTGCTGCATGGGGCTCTCTACCACCTACCTGCTGCATGGGGCTCTCTACCACCTACCTGCTGCATGGGGCTCTCTACCACCTGCCTGCTGCATGGGGCTCTCTACCACCTGCCTGCTGCATGGGGCTCTCTACCACCTACCTGCTGCATGGGGCTCTCTACCACCTGCCTGCTGCATGGGGCTCTCTACCACCTACCTGCTGCATGGGGCTCTCTACCACCTACCTGCTGCATGGGGCTCTCTACCACCTACCTGCTGCATGGGGCTCTCTACCACCTACCTGCTGCATGGGGCTCTCTACCACCTGCCTGCTGCATGGGGCTCTCTACCACCTGCCTGCTGCATGGGGCTCTCTACCACCTACCTGCTGCATGGGGCTCTCTACCACCTACCTGCTGCATGGGGCTCTCTACCACCTACCTGCTGCATGGGGCTCTCTACCACCTACCTGCTGCATGGGGCTCTCTACCACCTACCTGCTGCATGGGGCTCTCTACCACCTACCTGCTGCATGGGGCTCTCTACCACCTACCTGCTGCATGGGGCTCTCTACCACCTACCTGCTGCATGGGGCTCTCTACCACCTACCTGCTGCATGGGGCTCTCTACCACCTACCTGCTGCATGGGGCTCTCTACCACCTACCTGCTGCATGGGGCTCTCTACCACCTACCTGCTGCATGGGGCTCTCTACCACCTACCTGCTGCATGGGGCTCTCTACCACCTACCTGCTGCATGGGGCTCTCTACCACCAACCTGCTGCATGGGGCTCTCTACCACCTACCTGCTGCATGGGGCTCTCTACCACCTGCCTGCTGCATGGGGCTCTCTACCACCTGCCTGCTGCATGGGGCTCTCTACCACCTGCCTGCTGCATGGGGCTCTCTACCACCTGCCTGCTGCAAGGGGCTCTCTACCACCTACCTGCTGCAAGGGGCTCTCTACCACCTACCTGCTGCATGGGGCTCTCTACCACCTACCTGCTGCATGGGGCTCTCTACCACCTACCTGCTGCATGGGGCTCTCTACCACCTACCTGCTGCATGGGGCTCTCTACCACCTACCTGCTGCATGGGGCTCTCTACCACCTACCTGCTGCATGGGGCTCTCTACCACCTGCCTGCTGCATGGGGCTCTCTACCACCTGCCTGCTGCATGGGGCTCTCTACCACCTGCCTGCTGCATGGGGCTCTCTACCACCTGCCTGCTGCATGGGGCTCTCTACCACCTGCCTGCTGCATGGGGCTCTCTACCACCTACCTGCTGCATGGGGCTCTCTACCACCTGCCTGCTGCATGGGGCTCTCTACCACCTGCCTGCTGCATGGGGCTCTCTACCACCTACCTGCTGCATGGGGCTCTCTACCACCTGCCTGCTGCATGGGGCTCTCTACCACCTACCTGCTGCATGGGGCTCTCTACCACCTGCCTGCTGCATGGGGCTCTCTACCACCTACCTGCTGCATGGGGCTCTCTACCACCTACCTGCTGCATGGGGCTCTCTACCACCTACCTGCTGCATGGGGCTCTCTACCACCTACCTGCTGCATGGGGCTCTCTACCACCTACCTGCTGCATGGGGCACTCCACCACCTACCTGCTGCATGGGGCTCTCCACCACCTACCTGCTGCATGGGGCTCTCCACCACCTACCTGCTGCATGGGGCTCTCCACCACCTACCTGCTGCATGGGGCTCTCCACCACCTACCTGCTGCATGGGGCTCTCCACCACCTACCTGCTGCATGGGGCTCTCCACCACCTACCTGCTGCATGGGGCTCTCCACCACCTACCTGCTGCATGGGGCTCTCCACCACCTACCTGCTGCATGGGGCTCTCTACCACCTACCTGCTGCATGGGGCTCTCTACCACCTACCTGCTGCATGGGGCTCTCTACCACCTACCTGCTGCATGGGGCTCTCTACCACCTACCTGCTGCATGGGGCTCTCTACCACCTACCTGCTGCATGGGGCTCTCTACCACCTACCTGCTGCATGGGGCTCTCTACCACCTACCTGCTGCATGGGGCTCTCTACCACCTACCTGCTGCATGGGGCTCTCTACCACCTACCTGCTGCATGGGGCTCTCTACCACCTACCTGCTGCATGGGGCTCTCTGCCACCTACCTGCTGCATGGGGCTCTCTGCCACCTACCTGCTGCATGGGGCTCTCTACCACCTACCTGCTGCATGGGGCTCTCTACCACCTACCTGCTGCATGGGGCTCTCTACCACCTACCTGCTGCATGGGGCTCTCTGCCACCTACCTGCTGCATGGGGCTCTCTGCCACCTACCTGCTGCATGGGGCTCTCTACCACCTACCTGCTGCATGGGGCTCTCTACCACCTACCTGCTGCATGGGGCTCTCTGCCACCTACCTGCTGCATGGGGCTCTCCACCACCTACCTGCTGCATGGGGCTCTCTACCACCTACCTGCTGCATGGGGCTCTCTACCACCTACCTGCTGCACGGGGCTCTCTACCACCTACCTGCTGCATGGGGCTCTCTACCACCTACCTGCTGCATGGGGCTCTCCACCACCGTACATGTTGTTGGCATACTGTGCAGGAGTCCGTGCTGCTATTCCGCAATCACAATAGCACCGGATACTTGCATACTTGGTTGGGTGAGCTTTCCGAAGAGTGAATTCCTTGACGTACGAAAGCTGCTGTCGTACACCTTACGGCTGGTCGTTAGGATTGAACGGTTAGCGAGACACAAGTCGAGGAGTTATGCGAGGTTAATGCTTTTGGGTGTGGCTTTTGTTGGCACAAGGCGATATGCACTATGGCGACCTCGCTTCACATATATGCCAACCTAGTCTGGCGAGGAGGGTCCGATGAGTCTCGGATAAAGCGACTCGCAGCGTCAAAGCTATTAACTGTGCCACACTATAGACTTCCCCTTCAAGAGCTTTCTACCGTACTGGAGTCAAGCCTTGCCTCTGGCGTGCCTGGAGAGCTTGTTGCGGCCGAACATCTTGTCTCTATCTTATCTGCAGATCGCTGCTTTTCTTTTAGTGAAATCACAGGCAATGTGCTTGTGGATGCAGCAGCACTCCTAGGTGCCGGCAAAGCTAGCTTAAAGGAGCTAATTGAGCGAACATGGTCCTGCGATTCGCCAAGTTCATGGGCCAAAAACATGCTGGTGCGTGGCTGACTATTAACAAAAGGCATTGTCATAATAAGAAATAATAATGTGATTGCCGAACAGTGTCCCCACGCCGCCGGCGACTCTGGGTTACACCAGACGCTTCCCTCGCTACCCCCCTTCCTGTTCCACCCATCCCAGGTTTTGCCTTCCAAGTTCCAACCACTGCCTTAAGTGCTCCTCAGCCACTCACGCCATACACCCCCTCCTTCCCCTCCCCTCCTCCACCCCACCAGGCAAGCTTCATCGTCTCCCGCCACCAAATCGACACCCGAGCCGCCGACCTCTTCCTAGCTCCCGTGCAGGACGCGGAACGCGCCCTTGCAGCCGCCTGGGAGGCAGCCGCTGCTGCTGCCCCTCCGTCCCCCCTGCCGTACTCCTCCCTGGACGAACTGCTGGCGGATGAGCCCTGCCTGGAGCTGCTACAGCGGCAGCAGGGGGAGCAGGGACAGGGTTTCGTACGGCTGGTTTTCTCCACCCTCCTCCAACAGCAGCAGCAACAGCAGCAGCCGCAGCAGCACCAGCAACAGCAGCAGCAGGAGGGGCGGCTGGAAGGGGAGGAGGCGCGGCAACAGCGGGGGCAGCAGGGAGAGACACGCGTGACGCCTCCTAGGCCGCGCATGCAGTCAGCTCCTGACACGGTGACGGCGGCCGAGGTGAAGAGGGGGGACGGCGGCGGCGGCGGCGCCGCCCCTTCCCGGGATAATGACTCCCCGGCCGGCGGGGTCATCGGCGGTGGCGGCGACGACTTGTGTTTCATCGAGGAGAGGGAGGACGACGACGGTGAGGAGGGGCTGGCGGGTGGAGCAGGAGGAGGAGGACTGTACGGCACGGAGTATGGGGAGGAGGAGGATCAGGAGGAGGGGGCATTCGATGCCATGTACGGCACAGTTGCTGATCCGTACGGCGATGACGTCACCGTGGATGATGTCGATTACGGAGGCAGCGGCGGCCTGGGTGACGGCGGCCTGGGTGGTCTCGGCCTCAGTGCAGCGGACGCATTGGAGGAGGTCGGTGAGGCCGATGATGATGCTGCTGCTGCTGCGGAGGAGGAGGAGGAGGAGCAGCAGCAAGAAGAAGAAGAAGGAGTCCACGGTACTGCTGCTGCAACTACCCGCGGCACCTCCAGGAGGTACGGCGCCGGCAGTCCCATGACCGCTCGTACAACACATCGGTCCTCCTCCGCCTCCGCCACCTCCGCCTCCGCCACCACCACCCTCACCACCACCGCCGCCGAGCACTGGCCCCTGCGCCCCGACCTGCTGCGGCACTATGTGCGACTCGTGTTCTCAGGCCCCGGTGCAGCGGAGCGGTTGGCGGCGGCGGCGGCGCTGACGCTGGCGGCGGCGGGGCTGCGTACGACAGTGGCGGCGGCGGCGGGGGCCACTGCCGTACGGGCCCATGGTTCGTACGATGCACGGCGCTTTCAGATGCCGTTGCCTGAGCTGCTGAGGCGACTGCGGAAAACGGTTCCTCAGCTGTTGCCGCCGGTGCCGGAGGCGGCGTCAGCTGGAAGAGTGGGGTCGGCGGCGGCGGATGTGTTGGTGGTCGGGAGCTGGCTGTTGAAGCGGTTGAGTGGGGCGCGAGGCAAGGGATGCTTCCCAGTGCTTGTGGAGGGGCAGGGGGGGGCGGCGGCGGCGGAGGGGGTAGGCGGCGGCGGCGGAGCATCAAGGACTGCCGGTGTGGTGGTGCGGCTGGATCTGGGAGCTTTGAGGGAGCGAGCGGTGGATGGACTGGAGGTGAGGGGGGGGGAGGTGGGCGGAAGGGAAGGGGGCTAGCAAGGGCGGGGGGGGGGGGTGAAGCCAGGGGGGAGGTGGCTCTTGGAAGTGTGTTTTCGAAGCCAGCCGGCGGCAGGGGAGCCACACGTCATGCCTCCCCTGCCTCTGTGCTCACCCAACACCGCTGCTGCTCCTGTACCCCTTACCATTCCTCCTCTTCCCCCCCCCCCACCTCCCAACCCCTCCAACCACCACCCCCACGCAGGCCGCCTCCCGCACCGTCTTCTCCGGCCCCCGCCCTGTAGACCGTATCCGCTCCGCCGCCTGCCGACTGCTGTCCGCCCGCACCGCCTCGCTGGGCGGGCGCGCGCACTGCTGCCGGCTGGCGGCCCTGGCTCGGAGAGTTCCTAGCGGTGTCTAAACCCTGTACCCATGTGCTGACCTAGCATTCACTCCTCCATCCTGAACAACCAAGTATCCGTCCTCCTGACCTCCCAGTTCACCCCTTCCATTATCCTTTCCACACCCGCGCCCACGCCCTCAGGAGAGCACGGGTCGGCCCGGCTGCATCCACGTGTCCGCGTCCACGCGCAGACTGCTGCCCGCTGGGGAGGACGAGCTGGGCTGGGTCAGCACCGGGGGCGTGGAGGTGCGTGACGAGAGACGTGGCAAGGGAGGGGGGAGTCTCTCGGGCATTTGCTTGCCTCGCAGCATACACCTGGCCTTGTCCTTTCCAGCGTCCTGATTATTCAGGGCCCACCCTCCACGCCCCGACCGCCCTCATTTATTCTTGAATCTCGTGTCTTGCCTCCTTTCCTCGTCCTTCACATACTGACCATCAGCGCAGTACGCTCATTCCCCTAACCCCGCGCCTCCTCCTGCCCTTCCCCCTACTCCTCCAGGTCAAGGGCAAGGGTCGCATGGAGACGTTCCTGTGGGAGCCCCAGTCGGAGGGTGCCACACGGCAGCGCCGGGAGCTGCAGCAGCGCGCCATGCTGCTGGGCACGCTGCCGGACGCTGCCCTGCAGAGCCTTGCGGCAGGGGCGGCGGTGGTGGTAGGAGGAGTAGGGGGCGCGGGAACGGCCGGTGGTGCAGCGCCTGGGCAGATGACGGCGCCCGCTGTGTCTGAGGTGGGTCTCGGGTCCAGCGCGTCCGGCAGCAGCAGTGGACGGCTGGCGGCGGGCGGAGTCGGTGGGTCCCTGCTGGCTGCAGGACGAGGAGGAGGAGAGGGTACGGGAACAGGAGGGGCAGGGATGCCAGCAGCGGGAGCAGGAGGGATGGTGGCGGCGGCGTCGGTGCAAGGCGCTGGAGGGTCACGACTGATGGCTGAGGGGGCGTGCTCCTCGTCTGCACCGAGGGACCGCGCTGTTGATCAGTTTATGCGTGGACGTATGTCTTGTCGTGATAGTGGCAATAGGGGCTATTAATTGTGAAGTGACACGCGCAGGTTCAGGTTGTTCGGGGCTGAGGTGCCTCCAATCCCGCTTTGACTATACTGCATTAAAATATTCTCTTAAACCGCTTGCTATATACCTTTGTTTGTTGTGTAAGATCTACACTGCTTGCGGAAATACTTGCCTAGTGCGTGCGGCCACTAGGTGGCCATCTATGTGCTGTTACTAAAGTCCTTTTGTTCACACGTTGGACCCCCATGCAAGCCACTGCTCGAAAAGAATGAGCTGAAATGTGACATCTGCTCTGTTTGGGGTGGCGTGAAAGTTTCTTTGACACGATGCCGGCCCTGATGGTGATGGCAAGCACACAAGGAGAGAACGACGGAGGGCGATGGTGTAAGGGGTTCCAGAAGGTGGTTCCTCCTGTTCACCAGAGGTGCACCCACTGGGCGTCTACCTCTGTCTTGGGATCTTACGATGAGAATCCTGGAGGTAGCTGGGCCATCACACTTGCTGCTTCTCCTTGAGCATTTAATCGTGCAATGGCGTGCAGGCCGTAGATATATGGGCATCAGGCCGTTTGCAAGGAGGGCAGTTCTGTGTATTTCCGGTTCCGCCTGCTTCTCGTATTTTGCTGTTGCTGCAAGTAGTGGGGCCGGCGCATAGTGTGAAGATCATGTTTTTTCCTGCGACCTTTGCTTTAGCCGCTGCAGTGTCTGAACCAAACAAAAGATTTGTGTATGAACCTTCGAATGTCTTTTCTTGGCGTGCATACTTGCCGCCGCTGGAGGTAAGGGATGGTGTGCGGTGCAGCCGCTGTCTCCTTCATTCCGATGTGGCCGTGTGTTGGCCATTTCAAACATAATCCTCACCTGCAGCGTCGGATGCTGCTTGCAGGGTTGGTTACAAGCTTTGTCAATTTTGAAAGTGTGTGGGGTGATTTGGAATGGATTTGGGTCTTTCATATCCTCTTCCGAATCCTTACTTTGGTGGCGGCCTAATTTGGATGTTTTAATCAAATAGTGTGCTTTTGTAGCCCTCCCCGTTTGGCTATATGCTGGATTGATAGTATTCTCTCCTGGGCTCATGTCCTTTAGTCTGATGTAGTGCAGGCATCCGCTGCTGCCTATCATCATCTTAAGAATAGGAAAGGAGTGCCTTGGCAAACGAAGGCTTGGTCGAGCATGCCCAAATTGGGAAGGTTTATGCACATGGGACTGGTTTGGTGGTGGTGGTGGTTGTGATGGTAGCAATGATAGCGGTGATACTGTCACACAAGGCTTCCAATGAGGCTGGCGGGTGTACTGGGGTGCATGGGTGGCTTGCTGCCTGGATTGCTGGATGTGGGGGGCTGGGGGGTACATTTGTTGTGCAGGTACCAAGACTTGGATCCGTTCCAGTTCAGCTCGGTGCAGTGATGATGATGGTGCAATTTATGCTTGGTAAATGATGGGCTGATGGGATAGCATGGTGGCTCAGCAGTGCTGGGGTAAGTCGTTATGTTGTTGGTGGTTGTGGTCATGGTAGTGGCTTAGGACGGACAGGCGGATGTGATTCTAGCCTATAGTGTCCCTAAGAGGGGTGCCGTTGATTTAAGTGTCACAGGCCGGATTTCAGGCCAATATTGTCCGCTGCTTTGGGTGCACCGCTGGGTGTTACGAAATGGCTGGTACTTTTTTAAGGGTGCGGGGTGGAGGGTGCAACAGTGGCGGACAGCGGACCTGCTGGGAGCAAGCTTGGCGCCCTGGTTTGGTTTGGAAAATGGTCAGGGCTGTTTTGCTTTGCTGGGGCGCCACCAGCCCTCTGCTGAAACAAGCTGTTAGTGGCTCTGATGCTCTTTGGCTGATCCTCCTTGCCAAGGTGATGTAGGCGAGGAGCATGTGGGCTGAGTGCTGAGGAATGATGTTGTGAACAATGCTACCCTTTTCTGAAACTGTTATAGTGTTATATATTGTTGGCAAGCGAGTACCCACGGCCTGTTGTTTCATCAAGCAATGAAGCTCCATGCTGTCAACTGTTAAAATATTGCTAATGCTCATAAGGGAGAAGAAGAGGTGTTCCTACACGGCGAACGACTGGAATCCTATGTGGTGGTACTGACGAGAGTGATGTTGTGGTGCTGGTAGGGCCGGTGTTGGCCCTGATGAATGTGGTGAGGTTCATCCAATGCCGTGTTCCTGGTTGGACCTGGTCATCTGCTCCAACCATACACGTACCCTTTCTCCTGGCCCCTTGCAGCGTTTAGGTGGTTCCCATGAAGCCGATTATCCTAACAATGGAAAGCAGTGTCCGTGGTGGTGGTGGCGGGTGATGGAGAGAAGCGCTGCATTGTTCTTACTGTTTGCGCGAGCGATGTTAACACACCTCATGGATTTCATTCTCCCTTGTGCTTTGACACTCGCCTCTTTCTGCTATGGATGTCCTTGCGAGCTGTTGGGGGAGGGTGTTCTGGTTGAGTGATGAGAGGTTCTTTGCTGTGTCCCATGGGTCGGTGGGCTGCCTGCATTACTGGCGGCACTTGCTCTGTGAACTTTTGAAGATGCCTCGGATGAAGGGGTTAAACTGAACTGATTCCTCGATGCTTCGGAAGGGGTTGGGGGCTTTTACCTGGATATGGCAAACAGTGGCCATGGGGGTGTGTGGATGCTGGATGGGTTCCTCTTCTTGTTGCTCGAAGCTACTGGTGGTGTGTATCATCCCTCCGTCCTGATATATTTCCTATGACCATAATGAGAGGGGTTCTGCATGTGTAGGATGGTGATAGGCAGTATTCAATACAAGCGACTATCCTTTCTTTTCTGTAAAAGAAAGCAGCTGCAGTATGTATGCGTATGGGGGGATCCCGTAATTACCCGGGGAGGTTCTCTTTGTAGGGTTAAAAGGCAATCAAACGTTTAACCAGTCCACGTGTCAAAGCAACGTTTTTCTCTGCAATGCTATAAAGCACAGGAAGTACGACATTTCTCCTTCACCATAAGGAGTTCCGTTGTCGTGAGTCTCGAGAGCAAACCCCAGCCGGCCAGCACCAGAAGCATGGTAAAAGAGCCCGTGTGATGGGTACAGTCGCAGTACTGCACGGGCAGCACCCGTCACAGCGTTCGTCCACATGTAAAACACGCAAATGACCCATGGGTCAGGAGAGGATTTGGTTAGCACTCCAGAGGTGCGCAACCTTGATAACCTTGCTCTGTTTCGCCTAATCATAACTAAGACTACTCCGCCCCACATCAACCAAGACCAACTCCTCTCCTGAAGTCCTCCCCCGCCTCTCAATCGTTATGCAAACACACTCGACCACATGGCCAGTTATCTTGACACAATCAACTGCAACACCTCCACAACCTTCCACCGTACTGTGTCATGCATTTGGGACACAGCCTTCCCTTGCTCCAGGCAGCCCCGTCATACATGTGCCACTCCCTAACCCCACACACCAGACCCTGCTCCTGCCGCTCCACCCACATCCCCACCCATACCCAAGCAGCCCCTGCCCTCCGCTCAATCCCCTCTCCCTTCCGCTCGACGACCCCCTACATGTAGTAGAGCAAGTTCTTCAGGCGCTGGTGGATGCCTACAAAGTGAGCGCCCGCCCCCCCTGCCGCCTCCCCCACCTCCCCGCCACCCAGTGAGGCGACCTCGGAGGCGCTGTCGGAGGAGGAGGCGGCCTGTGTGTGGGGGTAGGGGAGGGAATAGAAGTGGGGGAGGAGAGAGTGAACAGGATGTGATAGTTGGGTAAGGCAAAGGGGGTTGATAAGATGGTTGGCTGGGGTGTATGCAGTCGGGGGTGGTGACATCCCCTGCTTTCTGAACAACCGGAGCTCTGTAGTCTTCCTCTTCGCTCCCGTCCCCCCTGCTGCTCCTGCCCTACTCTTACCAGCAGCATGTGGGCGCGGTATGCGGCTCGGTCGGCGTAGTAGGCGGGCGGGCAGTAGCTCACCGACCTGGCAGCAGTGGCAGGGAGGGAGGGAGGTGAAGGTGGGGGGGTATGCAATGCGGTGGAGTGGGGTGGGGTGGGGTGGGGCTGATGGTATGATGTATGAACCCCTTTCTGGGGTCCTAGGAAACTTGTTCCTCCTGCCCGTTTCTCTCATGCAAAACTTTGCATTCCCCTCGTACCGGTACCCTTTTCCCTCCTCAGCCTTCCCTCCCCCCTCACTTGGTCGCCCGCTGGTGCAGGTAGCACAGCCAGTACGTGAGCAGCTGGATGCCGTCGGCCCCGAAGCCAATCTCATCAAGCAGGACATGGTAGTGTGCCGGCTTGTTGGTACCAGCACCCTGAGGTGGGGAGGAAGGGCGGTGGGTGTGCTTACTGGCCACAAGCTACCCACTCTTTCTGCTGAGACTGCCCTTTCTGTGCTGGATAACGTGCTGGATACCTATATGTACACACACATGCAGCTCTTAATGCAGTTCTGATGCGATTCTTTCTCAGTTTCCCCTGCTTCTCCTCCGCCTCTCTCCCCCTACATGCCCCCACCTTCAGCCCTGCGTGGCTGTTCAGGTAGAAGTCGAAGGCATCCCGGGAGGTGATGCCGCAGTCCACCACCGTGCCCGGCACCACATTGCCGCTGTGGATGAGGGGTTGAGGGGTTGAGGGGGGGAGGCAGGAGGTCATTGGGGTTGGGAGGTAAGGTAGGTTGGGCCTTCCTGGCCAGGTGTACGGCGCTGTTCACAGGTTCACTACTTCACCCAGTAGTGTATCTCCATCACTGGCAGCGGAGCCCCATGGTTGCTAGTTAACCACCGTTAAATGGCAACAAGGGGACTCCGCTGCCAAAGATGGAGATACACTACTGGGTGAAGTACCGACCCGCCAACAACCGACCTAGCATGGCCACCAATCAGTCATCGTTAACGGATGCATTCCTGCCTCGCACTCCTGCCTCGCACTCCTGCCAACCCTTTCTCAATTCGCACATCCCAGCCCCAGTCCCAGTTCCCTCCTCTCACTTGCTGTCCGCCGCCACCCTCTCTCCCGGGAGCAGCCGCGTGTTGTGGCGCTTCTGCACCACCACGAACGTGATGTCGGGCCGGTAGGCAGCATCGTGGTCCGAACAGGCCTGCGGGATGGGGGTGGGGGTTGGAAGAGGGATGGGGATGGGGGAGGGGTGAGAGGGGGGGTGGGAGAGGGGTGGCAAGAGGGGGTGCATAGAAAGGTCGGCAACGGACTCCCACTTCCTGGTACCGGTACTCTTGATACCACCCCTCTGTCCCCTCCTTCCCCTCCTTCCCCTCCCAACCCCCTACATGTTGTGCCAAGTTGCCTATCCCCTTTACCGTCTCTCCCCTCCCCTTCCGCTTCTCTCATCCACTGCTTGCCCCCTTCCTCCTCACGCCCATTACCTCCCCAAAGGCTAAGCCTCCCCTTCCGCTCCCTAACCCCCTTGCTCCCCTCCCTACTCCGCTCACCTGCTGTATGGCCACATACTCGTCCACCATCACCCTCTCGAACTCCCCCTCGCTCACTCCGTCCCGGTACATCACCAGGCGGGCGGGCCTAACCTGCCTGCGAGGGAAACCAAGAAAACTGGCTGTGTGTTAAAAAAAGGTGTTGGTGGTTATACTGTGATGTGTATTTGTGTACTGAGCAGGACGGGGGGACTCAGCTGCAGCCAGCCATCCACTCCACCCAGGCTACCTGCTGCTGCCGTACGTCCGTAAAGTGGTGGTGCCGTAAGTGCATATTTGTGTGCATGTGCCAACCATTGCTTACACTCACCCCTGCACTGCCTCCTCGCTCCCAGAACACAACACGTGTGCACCTCATATGTCGTACAAAACACACACACTCCCCCACCCCCCCTTCCCCCCCACGCCCTGCCTGTTAGCCTGGTAGAACTCCAGGAGGAGCTCCTTCACCGCGCTCCGCATGCCGCTGATCACCTCCTGCCGCCCCGCCTGCACCATCACCCGGGTAGCCCAGCGGCCCATGCCGGGGTCCAGGCTGCCCACCACCGCCGCCACGGAGGGGTCGTGCAGCGGGGAGGAGGAGGAGGAGGCGCGGGAGGGGGTGCCGGTGGGGTGGGTGACGTCAGCACCCAGGATCATGAAGGGAAGTGGGCGGTCGCCGCCTAGGACCGGGAGGTGCCTGAGGAAGAGGGGTGGGGGGGACGGGGCGGGGAAGGGAGGGGAGGAAAGGGGGATGTGAGATAAGACACCCCCCACATGTATGCATGTACCCAAAACCCCAAACATACACGTCCGGCCCCGCTGAAAGCCCCCCTGAGCTGCCATTCCTACCTGGCGCCCCCGGCCAGGGTGACGTTGACGCCCCCCAGCTTCCCGTTGATCTTCATGGCAACGTTCGCGCAGTACTGCAGGCCGCCACAGCGCTTCCCCGCCTGCTGCCGCCCCACCTTGGCCTGGAGGGGCAGGCGGTGTGTGTTAAAAAAACTGGCCGCGAGTGTGTTTATGGGGTTACTGAAGAAGGACCAGAGCTAATGAGAAGGGTGTGGAAGTGGCGTGGAATTGTATGCTTGCTTCTGAGAGGGGCAAGAAAACACTGCTGAACTCATATGCTCTATTATATCTGCATCCTATTATTAACTTTCCCCACATCAGGATGATGATGTAGCTATAGCCAGAGCCCACATGGCCTTTCTCCCTCTTGGCCTCCTTACCTTGGTGCCCGCCACCACTTGCGAGGGAATGCCCAGCTCGATGTCGGAGACGCGCTTGATCTCCTTGTACTCATCAAGCAGCTGTGGGACAAGGTGTGTACGGCAGGGATTTGTGAGAGGTGTACGGCAGGGATTTGTGAGAGGTGTACGGCAGGGATGTGTGAGGGGTGTACGGCAGGGATGTGTGAGAGGTGTACGGCAGGGATTTGTGAGGGGTGTACGGCAGGGATTTGTGAGAGGTGTACGGCAGGGATGTGTGAGAGGTGTACGGCAGGGATTTGTGAGGGGTGTACGGCAGGGATTTGTGAGAGGTGTACGGCAGGGATTTGTGAGAGGTGTACGGCAGGGATGTGTGAGGGGTGTACGGCAAGGGCAAGGACCTTGGAAGGGCGGAGACAGCTATTTACTCCATACGTGCTCATAGCAGCTCTTTTCCCCCTTCCCACCCCCTTTAGCCCTCCCGCCCCTTAACAAACCCCTTGGCAGCATTCAAACACAATGGCACGCACGCATTCGCTCGTGCAAACCTTGTCGGGCAGTACAACAAGGATGAGCTGAGCCGGCTTGCCGTACACCGCCCTCGCCGCATCCAACGCCGCCCGCATGGTCGCCTCGATGCCCCGGTTGTGGCCGCGTGGGTCCACATGCCACTGCACCGGGGGGGAGGCTCCCGGTCGGCTCGGGTCACATGCCTGGGGGGCAAGCGGGAGTCGGAGGGGGGCGGGGGTGTGTAAACTGGCTGGAAAATGGGCAGTGACACCGGTAACTTGCACGGTTTAAACCTCCCCCCATATTGCCCCCTGCCTCCGGCCCCCGCCCTCTGGCTCACCACTGCCATGCCGCAGTTGTGCATCGCGGTGCACAGGTCCCGCAGGAAGATCCACAGCGAGCCCTCCCCCGAGTAGTCACACTCCTGGAGTCGGGGAGGGGGAGGGGCAAAAGAGGAGGGGGGGTTTGTTTCGTCTGGTTGGGTTATTGGACACCGGTAAGTAATGGACACATGTACACATGCAGTAATGACTTGCGGCTGGATTTGGTAACACACAGTAGATTTAACACATACATCGATACATGGCTACGGTCATACGATATGTCATTACAGGTGCATGGCTCAGCTGTTTTCACGGACGCAATCAACCTCCTGTCATGCACCCCGTTCGCCAACTCCACCTTACCTCACACTTCCCCTCCCCCCCCTCCCATCAGCGCCTCACCT